ATGAAAAAAAATTTAAAATATTATTTTATATAATCCTTAATAATTTGATTATTTTTAAAAATGTGCATTTTTTCTAGTAGGGTTTTTTTATGCATACCATTAGAGAAATTATGCAATTCTAACACATGCTTAATTACGTTTTAATTACTATAATATGATGAAAAATATGCATATGTGATAAAATAATATCAGATTGGAGTCATAAGGCATGGAATCTTTTGAGATTATGTATATGTTATGGAATTAAAAATATATATATATATGTTATGGAATATTTTGGTGCCTAAAAGGCATATTCAGATCGCTATAAGATATATTCTAATGCCTACGAGCATATTCTGGTGCTATAAGCACAAAAAGGAATTATAAGGGGTCAGAATATTTTGAGATTTTGTCTGGGGTCTGATGAATGTGATATGAATTATAATTTATTCATCTACTCAATATTTTTTTTATATATAATTGGATATCTACTATGCTTGTATTACATTTCTCAGTATAGTAATTTATTAGATAGCATTTAACTAGTTTTAAATATTCAGCAAAATATTTAATAAAAGAATTTTGAAAACTTAGATCACTTTATTTAGCTTGTTGAGCTGTTGTAGTTCATTGTAATTTTGCTTCTGATTTTTAGGCTTTAGGAAAGGGAAGGGGGCTTGTGGATTACCAGTTCATGACTGATTAGAGTTTATAGGTATTTTCTTATTTTGATTTTGCTAAGTCATGACTTATTTAATATTTAGTTCTATAGTCATGATTAGTTTATTATTAAATTATGTAGCTTCTGCATGTAGTCATTTATTGTAGTGTAGATACATTTTGATGAAATGAAAGAAATCTTATGGATGAGTTTATTTTTAGTACATAGATGTTTAGTAGCTCTGCAGTATGCATCTTATTTAAAATGATTGAAAGAGAATATGAAATATTTTAAAACTAGATCTTGATATTTGTCTATCACAACTCAACACGATATGACCTATCCTGATCGGGTTGGGTTGTGACATGCCAATTATGTGTTTTCCCTCTTCTCAATATTTTATTTAATTTGAACGAAACAAGTGTATAAGGAAAATATTTTTGACAAGTCATTGGCTTCTTATATACACCTTATGTATTACATCTTATACACTTAGATACATTTGATCAAAAGTTTATGTTATGTTTATGTTATATTTTTCTTGGTTCTAATGCTTTTTGTACTTGTACATACCTCATGTACAACTGTACACAAAGTGTATAATTTGTTTTTGTATACATCTTGTGTATACTTATAGATAGTGTGTACAAGCTTGTATACTTTGTTTACAAGCTAGTATATAGGGTGTGTACAAGTTGTATATATGATGTGTATAAGTTTTTCTTGTACACACATTATATACTTTCAAAAGTAGAAACAACAAAAGATTTTGTGCAGCTTATGCAGAGTGAATCGTACTAGCGAAATTATAGTAGAATATCACTTGGCTAGGAGGAAATAGATAAATTTTATACACTATTTACGGAGAAACCCCAAACAAATAATGTACCTTTGTCGTTCAAGCCTTCAACGAAGACAAAGATATAATGCCTTCCAAAAAAAAAAAAAAAAAAAAACTCATTTTTCATTCCAAAATGCAATAAAACTAATTAAAAATATAGTAACTAATTGATTACGCCTAAACTCTATTCAAATAGAGTAATAAATTGACATATTAATCAAATTTATTATGGGCTTAGATATGACCTTCTGAATCTTGTTGCTAGATGACGCCTAAAGAGGATGAAGAGAGCAACAATGAACATATCATTCGATGAACAACAACCCCTGAATGAAGGGGCAGATTTACAGTGGGGGCCCTGGGGGCTGGGGGCACGGGCCCCCACTGAACCAGTAAAAGCCCACTCAGCTTTGCCTTAGTTACCTCTGGCTCGAGCTTGACTTGTGAGCTTACCTCACTGAAGAAGTTGGAACGTCTGCTCACTCGAGAGCTTAACTCGAGATCCATTGACGAGCCACTCGTTGGAAAAGAAGATGAAATAATTTATTTTTTTATTGGGAGAAGAGATTGACATGCTTTATAAAAATATATATAATGAATTTTTCAAATAACAACCTGCTGGTAGCTTTTCCAAAAAAAAAAATGTCGGGAGAAAATATTTACATTAAATGCAATTAATATTTTGTATTTTTTAGCTGCCTTAGGAAAAATATATTTCTTTAAATAATACCAATTTTTTATTTCTTAATATAATATTAAACGAGCTCGGCTCGCGAGTTGACGAGTCGAGTATCGTCAAGTTCGAACTCGAGCTTTTTTAATATACAAGCTACCGAGCTAGACTCCCGAGCTCATTATTGAATCGAATTTGAGTCGGCTCATCAACCAATTCGTCTGATTTACACCCTAATCAATATATTATTCACTGTGAGGTATTAAAATTCAAGGGAAAAAAAACCACAAAAAATGGGTGTATTTTAAGAATAATTAATTTGTGCCCCACTATTTAAAATTATTGGTTTCACCCCTGCCTGAAGGAGATGACAAACTATTTCTTGTTCGAAGATGAAGAGTGCTTATAGGAGGCGAAAGCGATCATTGTTCAACTATGAAAAACGAATTCCAAATATGAAACCCTAAAACTTTTTTTTTTTTTGGGAAAAAACCCTAAACCTTTTGGTTTACGGCAATTTTAAAAGTGAATAGGCAGAGTAGTGGCAGGCAACCTTTTTTTCCTTTTTTTTTTCAAAACTATCAATAGGTCTATGCAGAATCATTGGGTCATAATTTATAATATATATGTTGGTGGCTAGAATATACGCGGCGATAGAGTTATACTTCTACGTCTTAGCGTTGCATGGATATTCAGTTCACACACAGAGAACACAATATTTTTTACGTGGAAAACCTGGAAAGGGAAAAAACCACGGGGCCTAGCCCGGTTAAAAATTGTTCTACTAAAATTTGAAGAAAGTACAATGGTCTGACTCGTCCTCGAAGACGACAGTATTACAAATATCAACTGAGAGTTTTGCAAAAGTCCAATGTCACTCCACTGTCAGGTGATGGTCCGATAGCATTCCGGTGTCGGCGGTGGATCGGCAGTGGCACTTCAGTGTCAGGGGGTACTTCAGCTTCGGGTGGTACTTCGACGTCCCTTGGTAGTCTGGTGGTGGTGCGGTAGAACTCCGACGTCCCTTAGTGGTCTGATAGAACTCTGGCGTCCCTTAGTGGTCCGACAGAACTCCGGCGTCCCTTAGTGGTCCGGTGATGGCGCGAAAGAACTACAGCGGTGGTGCGGCAGCACTTCGGCGTCCCTTAGTGGTCCGGCGGTGGTGCGGTAGAACTACGGCGGTGGTGCGACAGTACTCCGGTGGTGGTGCGGCAGCACTCCGGCGTCCCTTGGTGGTCCGGCGGTGGTGCGGCAAAACTATGGCGGTGGTGCGGTAGCACTCCGTCGTCCCTTGGTGGTCTGGCGATGGGCGGCAGAACTACGACTGTGGTGGGGCAGAACTTTGGCGGTGGTCGAGGAGGAGCTAGGCGGCTGGTGCTTTCTTCCTTCTCTTCCTTTTTCTGTCTTGGCTTCTTCCCCCCTTTTATGAGGAAATGAGGCTTTATTTATAGAATTCTTGAGTGGCATGTGTTGACCTCGATTTTGCCCAGACCTTTGGTCAAAGGGTTGACTTGGTCAAATTGACCAAGCCAGACCCCAAGATCCTTTCCAATTGGTTCAGTGGGTCGAGTCGAGTCTGTTGGACCCGGGCTTGGACCCTGGGTCAACCCAGTTGACCAAGTCAACCAGGGTTGACCACTTAGCCTATTTAGAGCTCAAATCGATTTAAATCAAATCCAATCTCATTTTTGGCTCGAACCCACGTCCCCCTTGACCTATTTGACTGGGTTGACCAGGTCCATGGTTGACTTGGTCAACCCATGGTTCGAATGGGCGGTCGATCTTGATTCCTACGATCATGCACCGTTCAATGGATATTTGATTATCTTAATGATATCAAAATTTGATGATCTTGGGCTCGTTGCATTCGTCTCGTCGAGCCACTCATTTCGACTATAAACATGTCATGATTGGAGATTGTTTGGTAACCCAAATTGTGATTCGATCCTTCCAAAAGTGCTTCGAGTATTTGATTTGGACTCATTTGTGCTCGGATTGAGTTGATTTTGGTGTCGTTGGGTTTGTGTTTCCAAGAGCTCAGTTCGACTGTAAGTTTGCTGAAATCGAAATTCAGATGATCTTCAATTTAATTTATGAAGTTTCCAACTTGATTTTGCCTCAAGATTCGTGTTCGATCAAGGTAATTTTTGATGATATATATATATTAAAAATCTAGGCATACAATCCAATCAAATGTAATGATTTCGATTTCTTTTGGAACAACTTTGAGACACTATTTTTTTACTTCTTTCAATATTTTTTTAAGTTTAAAAAGCTTTAAACAGTAGTAAAAATGACAAATTATAAAAAGTAACATCTTTTGTACAAAAATAAGTTTTAGAAGCGGATGTGCAAGTTAATTTAGAAAGGAGCCAATGCCGAGTATATAAGCACATACTCACAAACCATAAAACATCCGATTTCATTGAACTAGAACATAATAATCCGGTCCGATTTCTATTGAAACTGAAACTTAATTATCCGATTTCATTATTCTTAGACGAAATTTCTATTGAAACCGGAACTCTAACATCCAATTTCTATAGGAGTAGAAACTGATATTTATTTGTTTGGTTTCATTATTCTCAGACGAAATTTTTAAAAATTTTAAACCATTATTAAATGGTGTTTTAAAAATTTAAAATCGTTATTTAACGATATTTAAATTAGATTTAAAATTCATTTTAAAAAATAAATATTAATTTTATCTTATATATTTAAAATGTAACATTTTATATTTTTTAAAAAAAATTAATTAATAATTAATAAGAATATTTTAAGTGAATTAGCTCTTAATAAATATTCATAAAAAGAAAGTATTAATTATAGTCCTGAAGTAGGCGTCCGGATTCCACACGTAATAACTTCTCGGTCTTGCCCGAATCACCCAATTCATTTCGTTTTTGAGCTTCTGGTTCCTTCTCAAGCTATGGACTGCCTCACCGGCGGGAATTCCTCTCTGATTCTCCATGGATCTTCTCTCCGACTCACCGCCTCCCGCTTCTCTCCCAAGTTTCAAATTCCCGTGAATCCCCGCCCCTCTCTCTTTTCTGCAATTGCTTCCTCTTCCCGTACAGCGCTCGAGGATAAATCTTGATACCTAACTTCTCTCTGTTTTTTCTAGAGATTGAAGCCGCCGCCGATTTCGCAGAAGCGGCTGTTGTTTTGCAGGGCGTCTGGTTCTCAGAAAGGAGATTCGGGAAATGAGTTTCCATTTAAAGTAGGAAATGCTTTCGCTGAGGAGGTAATTTCTTTTTGGTGGTTTAGTTTTTTTTCCTTTGATGTTGTAATTTATCATTGGATAAGGGATTTTTTGGGCGGCTATAGCTTATTTTAATCTGATTTTGAGGTTTTTTCCAAGAAACTAAAGGAGTTCCGTGCGGAAGGTTACTTAACGAACATTTGGGGCATTAGTTAGTATTTGATTTTCTTCTTAGAATAAGATGTTATCTTGAAATTGTTCTCATCCGGTGGAAGACGGAAATTTTTCTTTATGCTTGTATTCGAATATATGAAACACTTTGGATTACGGGTTTCTAATTGCTTGTTAGTGCTAGGTAACAACAATTTGTTTGTTTTGTTGTGGGTTTTTTGTTTTTTTGCAATGTTGGTTAACTAATAACTGCCATGGTGGCTGAGCTAGACTTTATATAATGATGAAAAGTCAAACTGCAAGGAAAGCTAACGAGGATGGATGTACCTGAATTGGTCAAGATGAAGAAAGGATTGGGTTGAAGAAATAAATCTATGCGAGTTTTCACTATTTGGAATGTTAGCGCTTAAGTCGTGATTGGTTTGAAGAAACGATGAAGCTATTTATGCTTCATAAGTTTTAATAAATTATGATGGGAAACATCCTCAGAGGTTGAAAGATTTGTTTAGAGCTTATTCGCCTTTTTAGATTCCACACAAGTGCAGATAAGGGAATTTTCAAAACATTCATTAGGTTGGAAGGGAAATGCAGTCCTGAAGGAAAAAAAGAAGTTTTTTTTTTTTTTAAACGTGAAAAGTAGGAGGATTCTACCAGGAAGCTGGATAATCTCATTTCAGGTCTGCATAATAAATTGAATATGATAAAAGCTGCATTTTTCCCTCGGTGATTTTGGAGAAAACTATTCAGATAACAAGAATTGTATTGCATTGTGAAGCGGCTACTTTTTGTAATCAGCCTTGAGGATTTCCTTATGTCAATTTTGTCAGTATTATTTAACGTGTCATGTGGTTGTCATCATCCTTATTTGTCAGGGGTAAAATGATCTAGTCATAGTTTACATTTTTTTTTTGTTTTTTTTTTGTTTTTATCTAGTCATAGTTTACATGCTTTTTCATTTTGTCATTATTAGGATTAATTATCTTGTAAATTAAGACTACTAATATGAATGGCAGGCATTGGACTATTATTGGTGGTATTGAGTTTGGAATAAAGACTCGACTTTTCTTTGATATCCTCTACTGGGATAAATTCCTTTTTTTTTTCCCAGCCTTGAGGTTCTTTATTTTTCTTTTTTTCATCATCAACTTCCCTTGAGACATTCATTAGTCTCTTCTTATTAATCTATTTTTAATTTTGCCTCCTAGTATGGTTCTTTAAATCTCCATGACAATCTTTGCTTTAACTGAACACTTTATATGAATTGGTATCAGCGCAATTATTATGCATAGAAACAATTTTCTCTTTGATTATTGAATGTTTTCTTGCCTACATGGCATCAATTTTCATGTAATTTGTTTTTTTATGCTTATTGCTGTTGTGTTATTCCAATTTTCACCATTTTTACCCTTGCCACATCATTGAATTCATGTTTTTGCTATAGTTCTCTTAGTTTGGTTGCTGTCCCTATGCCAATGTCTCTCGCAGCACTAATTTCCTTGCAAGAGCATTATTTTTCTTGCTCTTGATTCTCATGGTTTGGGTCGTTGACTCTTTTAGAAGTTTTGGCTTTAGACCACCTCCTAGCTACTAGAAACCATGTTATAACTTGCCCATTCCAGCAGCTAGCCGCAATGTTTTAACTTGGTTCTACATCATTTTGGTATCAAAGCATGGTTGCATTCCTGGGAGAATGATGAGGACATCCGGCTGTGAAAGTTTATCAGAGGAGAAGCCGAAGATCGACGACCATGATTGTACCACTTTATTTTGAGTTATTATTTATATTTTGATCTATTTAAGTTTTTTTTTTCATTTTTACCCTCACTTGAGGGAGTAGACTTATGTAACATTAGGGGGTACTTTTTTTATTTGTCTTATTATTATATTTTGGCTAGTTATAGCCATCTCATCTTCTTTTTGAGGGCATGAATGATTATTAAGAGAAAATTCTGCACTTTGTTTTTAAGAGCTTTGAGAGTTCTTATGAAAGTTGAAGCCCCTAGGTGAGGGCAACGTACTACCCACCAGCCACTGGAAGCGTCCGGGCTCGTGGTTTGAAGTCCTTAGGTGTGGGCAAAGTATTACCCATTAGCCGCACGAAGCGTCCGAGCTTGTGGTTTATCTTCTACACCGACTCCCTCTCCTCCTTCTCCCTTAGCCGTCACTTTCATCTCACTCTGATACCATTCCTCTTCCCTCAGTCCTCCCCACCTCTCGGCCCAACCACCTTCACCAAGCTATCGGCCTCCACTTTCCCAACCTTTGGCCAATCCCTTCCTCCACCCAACCACCGGCCCCCTATGATGCACAGACACGGACACGGCGACACGGATATGACATGACATGGACATGGGACACGTCAATTATTGAAAATATAGGACATGTATATAGGTTGGAAATAATAATAATATTATTCTTTATTATTTTTTAAAAATGGTGTATAAAAATTAAATAAGTTTAATTTTAAAAATAACTTAGAAATAATATATTATTTAACTAGAATTTGTGATTAAAATGATTAATATTATGATATTGAGAGTCGGACGCCGATGCCATTTATCATTCATCAAGAGAGGAGATTAAAGTACATTCATTGCCAATGAGAATATTCGATGAATGAGGTATTAATTGCAGGCAATTTGGTGTTGTTGATAGGAAATAAGAAATTTAGTTTTTATATTTTAAATAAAGAAAAAATTTAAATACTAAAAATTATATTTAAAAAAATTCATAAAAATATTTAAGATACGCATGTCAAACACGCGTGTCCAATTTGTATTTACTATTTTTTTAATCGAACACGTTTTTGGCGTGTTTGACACGTGTTGCTCCTCCCAATTAAGTCTCTCAATCAATTACACTAAATTAACTTCAGATTTGAGATTTGATTTAAGTCCTATTTCCTTAATTGAGAAATCATAATTGACAACTCTATTAAATCAATAATCCCACCCCAATCATGGATAGCTTGGTTCTACATCAGACTTACACTGGAATTATCTTGTCACATTTGCACTGCATTGAAAGGAACCACACATCCAACTTATACTCACAAGATTGTTTAATTATATGCCTTAAAATAACTATTTATAGTCTTTACATCGCTACATTAATAGATATTGGTTGCATACTATCAACTTAATTCAGTTTTAAATTAACATCCCACAAGATAAAACCTCAATTTTTAAATTAAACCAAATACCTTGTCCAAACAGTTGAAATATGCCATTTGTGAGCTGCTGTATTGGGTGATAAAATCCAATCTTAAATCCCACACATCATAGAGTACCTGCTAATGCTTGCATAAAAAAGATTGAAATAGGATAAAGATGCCGTTTCACAGTACAAATTCAAAAATCCAAATTAAAGGAGCTGTAGCTGCTTTATACTCCAAATTCCATTGCTTAAGAATGAACAAACATTATGTGCACGTGCAGTTTTATAGTCTTTTGATCCATTATCACTTTCAGCATGAATGCTTTTTTCAAACTTCTTATCAGGCAATTGGAGCTGAATATGGTGAAGGCTTTGAGACTTTTAGATTGGATGGTCCCCTTATGCTTGATGTGGTAATGAATATCAGAACGTTACTAGTTTATACCATTTATATATTTATTTAGAATTAATTCATTTTTATGCTTTTTGTCTAAATATTTTAACCATTACTCTTGTAATTTTATTAATATGGTATCTTGGTGCTAGGATTACTTAAATGAGAGATTGCAAGAATGTTTTCTCCAGAGAATACGGCATGCCATGAAACCGGATGAAGCTTTTGGACTAGTCTTCTCATGGGACAATGTTGTGGTATTTCTTCTTTCATCATACTACATGCACTGTCTCCTAGTAAGAGAATATTGCATATTTTGTTGAAAAAATTCAGGAGAACCCTCCATGAAATCTATAACTCTGCATAAAGTTAATGGGTAGTAAGTCAATTGTATGACGTAAGACTTGCTAATGGATTTACATCCTCTTCTTGTTAAATTTTTAGGTCAGAATTGGTGTAGAATAACTTGCTTCGTCATGGAGGTATTATTATGCATGCATAAAAGTGCTAAAAAGAGCTATTTTTACCTAGAAATCCCTCTGTACTATCGTAGCTTCCTTTAATTTACTCACCATGGTACATGACCTTTGTACCAAGTGAGTCATGTTCGAGAAATGTCTGAGAGCTTTCACTTTGATTTTGCTGAACCCAACAGTAAAGATGCTATTATCTTGCATTGCTTGAAATCTGATATGTTTGGAGCTCTATAGCTTGCCCGTTAAGGTTGGGAGTGCCATATGAGTTACCAAAACCCATTAAAGCTCATTTAATTAAGCCTCCCAAAGCCTCCTATGCACTTTAACTAGTTTATGATTAGCTTTCGTGGGATACTTCTTAAAACCCCTTTAAAATATAATATATTTTGTTTTAGTAAAAAGTAATGTAGATGCTCACTCAATTTCTAGTTTCAAGTAATGTCAAGCTGTTGACCTGTAAATAAATAAAAAAAAAGCAAAATCCCATACCTGTCCGGCCACGTTGACGCCATGCTTCCGCATGTTCGAACGTCGCATCCCGCATGTTGTCGCTTCTCCCCCACGATCTGTCTCGGCGTTAAAAGGAGACCGAAGCCCCTACTCTTCGGTTCGACGACCACGACCCCCTCTCTCGCTCCCGCTCGCTGCTTCTTCGGCTCCTTCGGGGCTGCTCGGTTTCGTTCCCTCGACGACTTTCCCTTCCTGCGGTGCAGAAGTTATGACATTTTTGAGCGGAAGATACAACTTGGAGCTCGCTCGCTGTGAAGTAGCTTCTCCGGCTCCCTTGTTACCGCTCGACTTCGCTCCTTCGACTGATGTTCCTTTCCTTTCGGTGCGGAAGTTCCGACATTTTTGATCGGATGAAACGATAGGAGCTCATTGTTGTGAGGTAACCTTCGCCCTTTGGCGCACTTCTTCAGCTCCTTCGACGTTGTTCAACTTCGCTCCTCCATCAACTTTCCCTTCCAGTCGGATCGGAAGCAATGGAAGCCGATTACTCGGCTCGTTCCTTGCCATCCGACTTTGTCCCTTCGACGACTTCACCTTCTTGCCAAATAGGAAGTTGCGACATTTTTATCGGAGGCAACAAAGGGAGCCCGTAAGCAGTGAAGGTAACTTTCTGCCTTCTATGAGCTCCTTCGGCCAAATCCCATAAATCCACCGAACCGAGGGATTGAACAATTTTTTTTAAAATAATATAATATAATTTTAATTATAATAATCTTAATTAATTATAATTAATAAAAGCATGTCTCCTCTTGCCTTGCCTCTGTCTTCGAGCCTCCACCGCCGGTCCCCAAGGTATAATTCTTAAACTTATATCCCGCTCTCGACGCTTGTGACGAGCTGGCAAACCCCCTACGTGCTCACGTAGCGTAATAGGGAGGGAAACTGGAACGGTGCTTGTGACGAGATGGGTGATCCCCTGACCGCTTATGTAGCGTGAGGTGGTCAAAAACTATGTACCCACATGTGGGGAAATCTTTGCGCTCTTTTCAACAGGTGCCATGACCCTTAAACTCTTATGTAGCGGGCGGAGATTAAAGAATTTACTGCTGCGGTGTCATTTGACACCTACCTGAAGCGCTCAAGTAGCGACGAGGGGAAGGCTAGTCTCTCGAATTTTTCCCCTAAACGGGGGAGACGTTGGAAGGTTGTCGAAATTTCGGGTGAACTTGAGACCTATTTTGAAACTAAATGAGCAAGTTGAGGACCAAGTTTGAACTCAAAGGATAGTAGGGGACATAGAACTTGAGCTTGCACATTGAGCTTATGGACTTGATAGAACTCAAACTTGAAAATGATACAAAGAGCTAGCTCAAATGATTAATAAAATACTTGAATCTAAATTATACAAGTTAGAACTTGAACTTGAGCTGAATTTTAAACAAGTGTGACTTGAACCTTTCGGACTCGAGCTCGAATGAATAAGGGACTCATACATGAGTTGGTTACAAACTTTGGCATGAATTAACTTGTAACGATCATCTCAATTGGGATACAAATGAATGAAGATGTCAAGCTTAGTATACACGAGGAATGATGTGCGGCATTTACATTAATCCTTGCAAATGAATGTGACTAAGATGCGACAAATACAAACACCCACGAGCTCTTGTAGGAAGGATATTGCAACATTCTCGTAACCAACATCGAGGTACAATCAGGCACACTATAAGACCTCAATGCATACAAAAAAAGAATGTAGTGGACTCTTACAATAGTCTCTACGAGATCAGGTGCATCGTACCTGCAAGAACGACGAATGGTTGCAGAATGTATGGGTGTCCCCTATATGCATTATTGAAATCTCCAACACTAGCAACATTGCCTGTAGATTGAGATGGCAATACTAGCACTTGATAGTGGAAAATCCGTCCTTGCAAATAAGTACATCAATCCATCTGAAATTGGTGAAATGTGGATATGAAGCAAACACAAGATCATCCTAAAAGTACGTATAGGAGATTGTAGTGAACACTATATACAAGCAGTAATACTTGATATAGTCGCTTGTGGATAACAACAGTGGGCACCTCGTAAGCACAACGAATCACCGTGGACACAAGTACATATATCACCTACTGCAGTGATGATTGAGATGCTGCTAGTACGTCGGGTATGAAGACGACTCGATATACGGAGGACACCTCCTGGCAGAATGGAAGAGATATTTGACCAAATTCGAACTAAACTTTGTGGTTTTCCAAAATTTCTTCTTGGTCATATACTTAGGAATAAAACAGTTCTTGCATCCACAAACACCGGAAATAACAAGTCTACTATACTGATGATTTAAAAGAGTTCTTTTCAAAGCAACAATTACGAATTTCTAGAAGGACCTCCCGATGAATGAGAAAAGAGAGTGTATCTGAATAATGAAATATTTTATGAGATTCAGGTGATGATGCTACGATTCACATATATCCAAAAATAAGATATTCATTAGTGCACTATGACCCACCTGCAGAAAGTAATATGTAGTGCACGACAGTCTACCTGTATAAAGTAGCGAATAGAAGCTGATACGCCACTCCATCGGATCCGTAACATTCATGTAAGCGAACAGAAGACGTTTACAAATAATTCAAAATGCCCCTGCACATGTACCGTAATTTGTATACACATAAATACACAAAATGAGTAAGTGCAATCATAAAACCCACATGGGCTCTGACGAGCGTGTTATAAGTTTACACGTGACGTCTAGAGATACTGCGCGAGTCAATAAATTTGAATCCGATCCTCCTAAGTAGGTAAATAAGAGTTGACAAGTTTCATCAAATAATTATAAAATACCCCAAACACCCGTATGGGCCCCGACGAGCGTGTTATTGGTACACACGCGACGTCTATGGATGTTGCGCGGGTTAATAAGTGAATTCAAGTCCGAGCCCGATCCTTCTATGCAGGTAGATAGGAGTCGACACGGCTCGAACCGTCAAATAAATATGCGGTCGCAAGGTCGATCGGGATATTTATTTTATACATTCATATTAGGCCTTCAAGGCCTATAATCAAGAGAATTCACTTATAAAGGCATACAGCCTATGAAACCCGATCCTCTGTCAATAACATGATAGGGTTGACAAGGTTCAAGCCACAAATAGAAATGACCCCATTTACCTCGATGATGGCCGTGCTGAACGAAAATCTCAACTGGAGGGGTTCATAAACATTTTCAAATATCATTCAAATACCCCAATGATAGCCGTGTTGAATGAAAATCTCAACCAAAGGGGTTCAGAAACATTTTCAAATGTCTTTCCAAATCTCCCCAAAATCCAAACTCCAAGAAAAATCTCAATTCCAAATGTTTAAAATTCGAAAATCATCCATCAAAACACTTAAATCACAAAATCCATCCACCATTCGCAACAGTTTATCGGAGTGGACAAATTAAAACTTACTTCAGCTCATATGGAGCCAATGTCGGATCCATTCTCAAATAATCTCCTGCCAGTAAGGACGTGGTACGTGTCCTCTGACCAGCGGTTTTGCCGCCAAATGACACCGCAGGATAAACGATTATGACTCGGGGCCCTCTGAACTGTTTGGTTTTGCCGCCAAATGGCACAACGAAATATCAGTTATGGCTAGAGTCAATACGCTCTTTAGTGACATCAAATCCTTAAGATATGAATCGATAGGATATGATCGATAGGGCACAAAGCCCTATGTTAGCTAAGGTGGATTTAAATTTATCCCATTATACAAACACTCACCCTAGGTCTACATGGTACCCTTGGACGAAGTAACCCATGGCTGCCGACAAGGATTCTTCTGTCAGGTTGGGTCGACTTCCTCCTCTAACTAAGTAGACCAACCCGTGACGATGGAACCATAGGATCTTGATCGGGTCCATCATCCATTCCCTCATCATCCGCTTTAAGTGCAAGATGGTGAAATTTTTATAAATATCAAATTCTAAGCCCAATGTTACTATTATATGTCAGATAACACGTATCTCTACGTATCTGATGGACGACTAGCCTTAATCGAAAGTTCTCTATCATTATCGGTAGGAGTAATTAACTATAGGGGCTTGCGCCTATAGGAAACAAGAACTCATATCATAAAGTCCTCACAAAATTAGGGCGAAATCTCTGGATAGTGTCGTATCTACAAACCCATCTGCGTTTCAAAATTTACCCCGGAACTTATTCCGTTAAAACTGCCCTCGCCGAAGAAAAAGCAAAGTTGGGCAGAGGCCGGGACCGAATTTTCGGAGCCCACACAAGCTCGACCGGATTATTTAATGAAAATTGGGTTCAAGTCAAATAAAATTTGGTAACACCTATAGATGTTTGATATTATAAGCAAAATATTATGTTGTTTGAAGAGTTTAATTTTGTTTATAAGAGTTTATCAAATCATACTCCTAGTAATTTTTTTTTTTTTTTAAATTTTAATTTCAATTAACTCAGTTTGGAGGGGGGCAGAGAGGTATAGTAGGGTTTTTAAATGACAAGGAGGCTCATGGGCTGATATCTAAAGCTTATAAGGTTGATACATGTGTTGCTAAACAAATTAGAGCTAGCCAATTAAGATTTTAATGTGTTTGGGTTCGTGCACTGGCCTACCCTACTTGACTACCCTAAATTAAGTGTTTCATATTTGTTATCTTCTTGGCCAATTCTATAAATCTTGGCTGGCCCACCTGGCGGCCTGCTGCTTGTTCAATGATTCATGACGGCCTTCACATAATTGTGCATGTCTGTGCTGAAGTGGTGCTTGCACATTACAGGCCGACACCCGCTCCTTGAAGTTGGATGCTTGGAGACGACTTGCTTCTGAAGAGGGTAAGCCATTGTTGACGTGCACTTTTCATAATGATCTACTTTTATTATGTACATCATTTTAGTTAATTGAACATTAAGACAAGAAATAAAGATGGTTGTTATATATTGTCAATGTTTCTATTTCTGAACTATATCATGAGTTGCTTGACTAATCACGTGTGCTTCTGTACACATTAATTTGCCATATTTGTTTTAATTACACTTAATGGACATGCATAATTGCTCGTGTGATGTCTTGATTGCCTTCCCTCTTTACTACTTTACTAGATTCATGTAGTTCTGCTGATACAATTTGTCTAACCTCTCATAAACTACCCTGTTATTTCCTTCACTTCCCTTTTTACCACTTTTACTTAATTCATTTGCAAGTGCTAATGAAAATACGTGCATATCAAATTACAACTTTTTAATGAAATGGATTATTCAATCTGTTTACTCTTGTATTAAATTTCTTCACTCTTTTCATCAACCTCTTCATAGTGAATTTTAACCTCATTAAACTAATGGAAGTAGCTAGACATGCTGACCCTAAAAAAGTAGCAATTTCTTGTTCTTGATGTGATGCGCCTTGTTTTAGTCAGTATTTGAAGCTGTTTTGGAAGGTTATGCTGTGAGTTGTTGGTGGTTTTTGCATTCTTTGGCGTGCCGGCTGTAGTTAGGCAGTGGCTTTTGGAGTTTGTGGTGTGCTGTCGCTGCAAATAACTGTTCTTATTGGTTGGCTTGTAGTTATCTGGTGCGCTGTGTAGGAAGTAACTAGTTCCAACAAGTTTCTGTTATCTGGATGTTTTGAATATCAATTTGTGGAATATGTTTGCATTCATTTTCTTCTGCTCCTAATTAGATGTGGAACATGTGTGCCTGCTGTTATGCTGTGGCCTATGTGCTCGTGGATTGTGGTTTTGTTCACCCATATCTTCTGGAATCGAGTACTGTAATTAATGGTTCAATGGAGTGTTTTTCAGTTCAGTGGAATTTTCTAATATAAAGTGGATGCAATTTCTTTAAAATCAGTGAACGATAATAAGAAATTAGGAAGAAAAACACACCAAAATTATTTTTATTACGAGATATATGAAAGAAAATAGCATGATACAATTGGATCTTCAATTGGAGAGGAAAATCTAGCTCTCCCAAATCCCTGGCGGTCGGCTAGAGCCCAAATAACCTAAGAATAAACTAAATTCAGCAAATTCCCTCCCAAATCAGCCTCTTTTCCCTAAAAAATCCCCTTTTAGATTTGAATTCAATTTATATTTATTTCCCTAATTAATTCCCTTCCAATTGTAATTAAAACTTTCCTAAAACCCTCCCTTAATTCTTCTTCCTTTTTCCTAAATAATTCTCTCTTAGATTTTAAATTCAAATTAGATCTCTTGCTTAGATAATTCCCTCCCAATTATAATTTAAACATTCCTAAATAATTCCTCTTTGATTGAGAACCTTCCTAAATAGCTCCCTCTTAATTAGGAAACTTCCTAATTCCCTCCCAATCAAATCGGCCGGTCCATCAACACATCCCTCCCAAAGTGCCACATTATCCTCAAGGTGGAACGAAGGAAATTCCTACCGAAGCACTTGACTAATAACACTGGATTGAAAAATAGATTGATACTGGTTCGAATGATCCTTTTCTCCAGTATCTCCCTAATTAATCTCTCAATCTCATCCTTCTGGATTTGTGGATGACGGTACAGACGAACACTTATAGGTGAGACTCCTTCCTTCAAGATGTAGCATGCTCGCATTCCTGTAGAAGAGGCAACCCCTGAACTGGCTGGAACACCTCTCGATACTGCTGTAGGAGTGGCTAAACCATGTCTTGTGCTTCTATCTTCTCCCCATCTTCTTCTTCTTCCAAACTTTTAAGCTCCATAAAAAATCCCACTATTTCACCATTTCCCCTCCTTAGAAGTGGTTCCAAAGATGGCATCTCCTCTTCTTCCCCCAAAACATCTACCTCTCGATCCTTTCTCATCATACCTATATTAGGGTTTCCCACCGCTTTCCAGTCCAATCAACGATATTGTCGCCTCCGATGTTGTCGGTTGGGTGTGAAGCTCCAATAGTTTCCTTATTATTCCTTCTTGGTTGGAAAACTTTTCCGCCATTGATGTCATTCTATCATCAAATGCCGATTTGAATTGGACAACTTTTTCTTTAAGGCGCTCTTCCAAGGTATCAACTTTCCTTGCCCCATGGTCCCAAAAAAGTGCTTTGATACCACTTTGTAGGAAGTAGATGCAATTTCATCAAAATCAGCGAACACCAATAAGAAATTATGAAGAAATGCACACAAAAACTATTTTTATTACAAGATATATGAAATAAAATAGCAAGATACAATTGAATCTTCAATTGGAGAGGAAGATTTAGCTCTCCAAAATCCCTAGGCGCCGGCTAGAGCCCAAATAACCTAAGAATAAACTAAATTCAGCAAACTTCCAAAATATAATATGAAATCACCCTATTTAATCCTCTCCCAAATCAGCCCCCTTTCCTTAAATAATTCTCTTTTAGATTTGAATTCAAATTAGATTGATTTTCCTAATTAATTCTCTCCCAATTGTATTTAAAACTTTCCTAAACAATCCCCCTTAATTCCTCCTTTTTTTCCTAAATAATTCTGTGGGCTCCGAAAATTCGGCCCGGGCCTCCGCTCGCTTTTCTTCTTATTTGGCGAGGGAGTTTTAACTGATTAAGTTCCGAGGTAAATTTTGGAAGGCAGATGGGTTTGTAGATAAGACACTACCCAGAGATTTCGCCTCATTTTGTGAGGACTTTATGATCTGAGTTCTGGTTTCCTATAGGCGCAAGCCCCTATAGTTAATTATCCCTCTCAATTATGAGAGAGAACTTTCGATTAAGGCTAGTCGTCAATCAGATACGTATATCCTATTGATTCATATCTCAAGGATTTAACGCCACTAAGGAGCGTATTGGCGCTGGCCATAACCGGTATTTCGTGGTGCCATTTGGCGGCAAAACCACTCAGTTCAGGGGACCCCCGGGTCATAACCGTTTATCCTGAGGTGCCATTTGGCGACTAACCGCCGGTCAGAGGACACGTACCACGTCCTTACTAGCAGGAGATTATTTGAGAATGATCATAGTGATATTTTCGACTAGGCATTTAGCTCTTTTGTGAGCTGAAATTATATTTGAATTTGTCCACCCTGGCAGACTGTTGCGGAGGGTGGATGGGCTTTGCTTTAAGTGTTGGGATGGATAGTTTCATTTTTTAAATATTTTGGATTTTTTGGGATTTTTTTTGAGAATTTTCTGGATTTTTGTGGGTTTTGGATTTTTAATGGATATTTGGGTGGAATGTTGAGAAATATTTATGAACTTTAGACATTTGGAAGACATTTGAAAATATTTGGAAACCCCTCCGGTTGAGATCTGCATTCAACACGGCCATCATCTGGGTGTTTGGGGTCATTCCTCTTTATGGATTGAACCTTGTCAACTTTATCGGGCTGTCGACAGAGAATTGGGTTTCGTATGCTTTATGCCATTGATAGTGAATTCTCATTATTATAGGCCTTGAAGGCCTAATATGAATGTATTAAGACAAATATAACGGTTGCCACAACCGTATATTTGTTTGTTGGTTCGAACCCTGTCGACTACTATTGACCCGTATAGAAGGATCGGTTTCAAACTTGAATTCACTTGTCAACCCGCGCAGCATCCCTAGACGTTACGTGTGTACCAATAATACGCTCGACGGGGCTCATGCGGGTTTGGGGGCATTCTATAATTAAACCCTGTCAACTCCTTTTTACCTGCTAAGGAGGATCGGGTTTAAAGTTTGATAACCCGCGCAGCATCCCTAGACGTCATGTGTGTACCAATAACACGCTCGCCGGGGCCCATACGGGTTATGATTGTATTTACCCCTTGTAGTGTACCAATGTGTATACAAACTACTGTGCACGTGCGGGAGTATTTTGAAAGTATTTGTAGACGCCTTCTTCTACTTGCACGGAGGTTGCAGATCCGGTGGCGCGGCGTAGCAGCTTATGAATAGAGTTGTTCGCTGCTTCGTACAGGTGGATTGTCGTGCACTACTCGTTGCTTTCTGCAGGTGGATCGTAGTGCACTAACTAATCTCCTGCCTTCATTGTAGATGCTTGTAGAAATTTGTACTCGTCGTATCTCATTTGCTTCTGCTTGCAAATAACATATAGTATGTATGATGAATATTCTACAACCCCTGAGATATTTGTACTTCACCATACATCATCTGTCCTTGCTTATAGAGGGCCAGTGTATTTGATTGATGTTGGACAATTATCAACCATGGAGGTGTTATAGTGTCTTTGCCACAACAATTGGTAGGTACCTTGAATGTATTACGGACATGATGTCTCTTTCACCACTCTTCATGTACTTGATTGTAAACATGTCTTCTATACTCATTCGTGGACAAGTTGTATTATCTTATACTATTTATATCTCTTCGTTAGTGTCCCTAGGTGGACGTAGAAAATACTACAACAATCTTCTTACACGCCCTTATCAATATCATTGCTTGCAAGCTTGGGTACATTTGATTGCATGAGTCATCATCATCATTTGTGAGTAAATGATGTTTGTAGATTCTATAGTTATTGCAAGTCTTCCTTTTCACCACAAATTTTATATGTATTCTTTTGTATTTAGTTTGGACCTTTGTTGGTATGATAGCATCTTGATGTTGATTGAAGACTTTGCCATGTTGATTGTGAGCATGGCATATTGAAAATCCTGTTGCAACTATCAAATCCTTTCCATTAGCATGAATATTGTGAGTGTTGCATACTAATTACCACCATTTACAATGGTGAAAAAGGATTCATGTAGCCGACCCCACGTAGTGGGATAAAGGCTTGATGTTGTTGTTGTTGTTTGTTGTACTTTGATCTTATATTTGTTGATGCTAAATTTCAATTCCATGGGGTCCTGAAAGTTCAAGCCTTGTTGTGTAAATCAAGTTCTTGCTTGAGTTCAAGTAGTGAGCTCAAGTCTTATGTCCCCTTCACTTGGTTTAAACCAAGTTCTCTTGCAAATGATTCATGTTCTATTCTATGTATGTGCTTCAAGTCCTTACTTGAGTTCAACTACTCAAGTCAAATTTGAATCAAACTCTTTGTTTTATTGTTCAAGGCCAAATCAAAGTCTCTTGTGGTCTTGTAGAGTCCAGGTTCGAGTTCAAATCCTTTCTTTTTATTCAGGTTATGGTTCAAGTTCATTTAAGTCCATTTGATTCAAGTCCACAAGTCCCATTTTGCTCCAAGTCCTTGTATGTATTTCAGACAAAAATTCGGCAGCCTCCCGACGTCTCCCCCGGTTGGGGGAAAAACCAAGAGGCCGCCTACCCTCCACGTCAATAAAGACGTGCACGGTTGGTATTGGTGAGACACCGTGGTAGTTGTATTTTTGTTTTTTCTACCACCACGCGCAATAAAGGTGTGCATGGGGTTTTAAAAAGCATTTTTATTTGAAAAGAGACAGTTTTGCTTTCCCCCTGCTCGGGGGTACTTATAAGTGACGCCGCTTTGCCGTAGGTGCTGCACAGGGGTCCCATCCCACCACGTGCAATAAAGGTATGCATGGGGCGGTTCTCCAGTTTGCCACGGACATTGAAGTAGGGTTTTGAGTTTAGAAATATTCATACCTGACCGTGGATCGAGGGGTCACTCGCCTACCTCGTCGTAGGTGTCGCACCGGGGTCCCATCCCACCACGCGCACTAAAGGCGTGCTTGGGGCGGTTTTCCGGTCCTGCACGAACGCCGAGGAAATAGAGAGGGGGCATTTTTTGTTATAATTAATTATAATTAGTTATAATAATAAAAAAAGAATTATAATTAAAAAAAACTAATTATAATAAATAATAAATAATTAATTTTAATTAAAATAACTAATTATAATTAATTTTTAGTAATTATAGTTAATTATTAATAATAATAATTAACTATAATAATGATAAAAATTAATTAGAATTTATTTTAATTGAAATTAATTATTAATAATAATAATCAAATATAATTAAATATTTAATTATAATTAATTTAATTCAATATAGTAATAATAATAATATTATTAATATATATAAAAAAAATATGCCCAAAAGGGCTGTTTGGGACAGGATTTGGTTGCAAGAAGCACGTGAAAGGTAGCCGGCTACCTTCACAGCCAACGAGCTCCTATTGCTACTTCCGATCGGACCAGCAGGGAAAGTCGTCGAATGAGGTAGGTCTCTCTCTCTCTGCAGGATTTCGGGCGGGATTTCGGGGATTTGGACGGCTTCTTGACGGATACGAGGATTCTAACCGGGATTGTCGCCAGAAATTCTGGATCCGACGGTCAAGGTATGATTTCATTTTTATTTCTTTTGGGTATGATCCAGAGGTCAACAAATTCCTAGTTAGATTTTGAATTCAAATTAGATATCTTGCTTAAATAACTCACTTCCAATTGTAATTTAAACATTCCTAAATAATCCCCCTTTGATTAAGAACCTTCCTAAATAGCTCCCTCTTGGTTAGGAAAAATCCTGATTACCTCCCAATCAAATTGGCCGGTCCATCATTTTCATTCCTCTAGTTTATGAGAGGGTTGTTTCAAATGGGATTGTTATAAGGGAAATGCATCAAACTCGCTGTGTTATATTGTTATCTCCTACATGGATTACGCCATTGTAATTTGGCTTTATGCCATCTATTTTTATTTTTATACTATGAGAAACATCATTTTTGTACTGTGTAAATTATAGCTTAGAGGCTTTCTGATATTGAAAGGATGCTTAATTATTGGTTTTAAACAAGTGCAATTACATAAATGACAAATTTTCTATATGCCTTTGATTGTAACTTGTGGCATTTATTCTCTTAAGCATCATATACTGTCTTTTCTGGAATGCTATTGTCTGTTGTCTTATATTCACATATTTTATTTCACAACAGTCAATTTTTGAGCAGGAAGGGAGATCCCAACTGCTGGCCATGTTCATAGAACTATTGTTAACACTGCTGCTGACCATGTCCTACAAAAGGTTAGACAACCAATCTTTTGGGCCTAAATTGAATGCATTTTTTTGATATATATCATATTATTATGAGCTACCATATGGGAATATAATTTATGCTGTCATATATTTTGTGGAATGTTTAAATTTTATGCAATCATTTTTTCTTTTAACAACTCATTAGAACCCTCTTTTAGGCTTTTTCTCAGAAATGTGTTGCAACATCCATATATTGTAGTTTAAAAACATCATTAATTGGGTCATTTGACATTTTAGATATTCGGACTAGTGAGGTCTTTAGCATTTTCCAAATCCCTAGACATGCCTTTCCTCATGCTTCTAACATCATGGTGCTACTTGAAAGGTGACCATCCATGTAGACTGAACTCCTAAGCCAAATGTTGACATTTAGCATTCAAGTTTTCTGAAAAGTTTTGCAGCTACCTTTATTGATTAGAAATGATACTTTTTGTAGTAATGTGACTAGGGATCTCTATGCAAATGTAATTTGTTTTAACTGCTTTTTTCCCATTTACTTAGGATCTCTGCATAATGCCCAACTGAATCATCTTGTAGACGTGCAAATTTTTTGTTTATTAATCTTTCCAGGTAGCTACCAAGTTTTTATTTTTGATTAAAAAAGGGGTTATTTCTTTAAGAACTCGTTTTTCTTGATGTAAGAAGTGGTTAGTTCTGAGTTTTGGTTTTGGTTGGAAGTGGATGAATGTGAGGTTTTTTTTTTTTTGGAACTCACCTCCACGAAGGAGAGAAGTGAGCCCTTCACTTCTGAGGTTTTGGCTGTCAAAATGCCGTCACCTTGCTTTTTACATAAAATGATAATAAAAAAGTATTTCATTACAAGGAGATTGAGTTAGAGTGCTACTTTTATTCATAATAGTGAAATATAAAATATTATAGAATTAACGAGATGATGGATAAAAAATGAAACTCACTGTTCGCCTAGTTTCCTCTACATCAAATTTTTCTGAATTTGAGTTTTACCTATTATGTCATTAATTCGAGTATATATTTTAGATATCTCGGGTTTATTGTTCAAAGTGATGGTGAAATAGATGGGGATTTTATTGTTAGAATTCAAGTTGGATGGTTGAAGTGGAGGAATGCATTAGGCCTGTTGTTTGATAGAAAAGTACTCCTCAAACTTAAGAGAAAATTCTATAAGATGGTAGTGAGACTTACAAAGCTTTATGGCGTATAATGTTGGCTATCAAAAGAGAAGCATAATATTAAGTTAAATGTTGTAGAGATGAGGATGCTCAAGTGAATGTGTGGCTTTACTCTTAGAGACAGAATGCTAAACGAGTATATACGTGAAAAGGTTGGAGTAGATCTAGTGGCAAATAAGATTAGAGAGAGTCGCTCTAGATGGTTTGGCCACATAAAATGCCGGCCTTCTGATGACCCGATGAGGAGAGTATATGTATTAGATTTGACCTATGTTAGGAAGGTAGAGGTCGACCTAAAAAGACGGTTAGAAAATATTAGAAATGACATTTTGTTATTAGATTTAAATAATAATTTGACTCTTAACATGACACAATGGACAAAAAAGATTCATGTAGCCTACCCCACGTAGTGGGATAAAGACTTCTTGTGGTTGTTGAGGTTGACCTTCATTGAGTCATTGGGTCTAAGCTTACTATCATGATTGAATGTTATACTACAATCTTGATTTGCTTAATTGTGTGGTACTTATTACCTCTTCAGTTTGTTTGCCCACCAGGAATCTGTTGCTTTGATAGCAAAATGATCCAGAATTTAGGGAGCTTTCTCTAATACAAATGCTGATAATCTAAGGATAAGCCTTCTCTAATAAGCATAATGAATTGCCTTTTCTTGCTTTAAAATTGATTTCCGTCTGAGCTCTATTAACTATAGTAACCCAAAATGCCAGAATTCTATTTTCAGATGATTCTATGTGAAAATTGAAACTGAGGGAGTTAGAAATTTGAAATGCTGCAACAATTGGATGAAGCACTTAAGCTTTGTCAATCACTTTTGCTTTCTTATCTTTATTTTTTTCCGAATCTTCCTTGTTGTACTTGTAGGCGCAACAAATTCCTTTATTTTAATGACCTTTCTTCTCTAGAATATTGTTTTACTTAGTAATCTGTTTTCCAATTGTGATGTTGTGGTCTTATTCCCTGGCATCTAGGTTTTGTGCTGGGAAAAAGAGGTAAGTAGGTTGGAGAAGTTGAAGTCAAGGCTCTCACACCTGTATTATCAGAATCTTCTTAAGGTCAGATATTTGGAAATTTATTCAATGAAGCACTTTCTAATGTGTTATGCTTTACCTTAACGAATATTGCTTTTGTTCATTACAGCTTGACACTCCTATTAAAGGGTTAAGAGAATGGTTGGATGCCCTTTATACGGCTGGCACACCTTGTGCTGTTGTGTCATGTCTTGATCGTAAAATTATGCTTGAAACTCTGGAACGAATGGGAATTAGCAAGTATTTTCAGGTTTAATAACTTTTGTTCCCCTATCTGTTTTTGGTGAACAGGATTTGTACCAGCTAAGCCTGGACTTCCTGCTTGTTTGTGGGGTGGGTGTGTGCGATATATTGAAATCATGAAAATTTCCTATCAAATACTTTGTCTTTTATGTTAATGCAGGCTGTTGTGACAGAAGAGGATGGGATGGAATCAACAGCTCATAGATTTCTATCAGCTGCTTTGAAGGTATGAAGAGACGATACTTCTGAAGTGGAATTGTGGATTTACTCTATTGATTACTTTTTCTTCATCTGCTCTATCTTTTCTAATATTCTGTGGGTTATACTATTACGGTGTTCAAGTTTTGTGAAAATTTCTTCGAAAAAGGTCCCTAAGCTTTTGTACCAAAGTAGTTCTTTTGATGCTTTCTTTGCTAGAGAAGTACTGTTGGGTAGTAATGATTGAAGTTCAGGATACCAGCATGAGTGAATGTTAGACGGTAGATGTTTCAATGATCTAAGCATTGAGTATACCCACATGTAAAGTAGAATTCTGACATGATATGCCAATGATTCATGGAATCATCATTTTTCCAAACCAAACTTTAAAAAAAAAATCTGGGCTTTAGATAAGTTCTTTGTGAATTATTTGAAAGATGCAGATTGGAGGAAAGTTTCTGTTTGTGTGTCTCGTTTAAACATGCATCATAGTGCTATAACTGTATTGAACCTCCTGTCTTACAAAATGACATGACTGGCTCTTTTCTTTTAACCTTTAATAATTGTTTAAGGGGTTGTTTGGTTTAATGAAAAATGAGTGCGAAGTATTTTAAATGTAGGGTTTTAGGAATTTTGATATTTTGTTTGATGAAAAAAGGAACGCAGAGTAAAATTTTGGTGAATTCTAAATTTACTTTGTAATTCATTTTTGATGTATTCAAAGTTCACCTTTTTTTGGCTGAATTTCAAATATAGAAAGTTGATTATGCTCTCGCCGTAATTAGCTGCCACCACCCACCTGCCATCACCGGTAGCCGCCATTTCCACCCACCCGCCTACCCGCCACCATTGGCCTCCCATCGCCACCATGAGTCGCCAATGGCCTCCCATCACCGCTATCCATATCCACCGAACTAAATGACCCATTAGTATTTTTTGGTTTATCTTGGATTCATGCAATGTCCATTCCTGGCTATTGTTTTCTTAGCAATTCTCCCTTGCTGACTGTTGGTAATAATCCTACATTGCTTTATCATAGTTATTGGTTGCAACCTTTGTATTGAGAGTCATTCAGCTGTGGGCTCCGAAAATTCGGCCCCAGCCTCCCCGCTCGTGCTTCTTTTATTTCGGCGAGGGAGTTTTAACTGAATAAGTTCCGGGGTAAATTTTGGAAGGCAGATGGGTTTGTAGATAAGACACTACCCAGAGATTTCGCCCTCATTTTGCGAGGATTTTATGATCTGAGTTCTGGTTTCCTATAGGCGCAAGCCCCTATAGTTAATTACCCCTCCCAATCACGAGAGAGAACTTTCGATTAAGGCTAGTCATCGATTAGATACGTAGAGATACGTGTCATCTGACATATAGTAGCAGCATGGGTTTGAGTATTTGAGAAATGGATTTGGATTTGAGAATCTGGAGAGTTTGATATTTAAAATAGACATTTCACCATCTTGCAGTTAAAGCGGATGGTGGGGGAATGGATGATGGACCCGATCAAGATCACATGGTTCCGTCGTCCCGGGCCATCGTGGTCCCTGGTCTACTTAGTCAGAGGAGGTAGCCAACCCAACCTGACAGAAGGATCCTTGTCTGCAGCCATGGGTTGCTTCGTTCAAGGGGACCTTGTAGACCGGGGTTGAATTTTGTCTAAGGGAACAAATTTGAATCCACCTTAGCTAACAGAGGGCTTTGTGCCCTATCGATCATATCCTATTGATTAATATCTAAAGGATTTAACACCATTATGGAGCGTATTGACTTTGGCCATAACCGCTATCTGTGTGCCATTTGACGGCAAAACGACTCGGTTCAGAGGGCCCCGGGTCATAACTGTTTACATGCAGTGCCATTTGGCGGCGAAACTGCCGGTTAGAGAACACGTACCACGTCCTTACTGGCAGGAGATTGTTTGAGAAAGAATTCTAGTGATATTTTCGACTAGGCATTTGACTCTTTGTGAGTTAGAGTTTATTTGAATTTGTCCACCCCGGCAAACTGTGGCGGAGGGTGGATGGATTTTGCTTTAAGTGCGTTGGTGGATTTATTTCATTTTAAATATTTTTGAGATTTTTGGGATTTTGAGACTTTTTGGGTTTTTGAACTTTGTGGAGTTTTGGATTTTGATGGGCATTTGGATGTTTGGGGGACATTTGGAAATATTTGTGAACCCCTCCGGTTGAGATAAACATTCAACACGGCCATCATCGGGGTATTTGGGGTCATTTCCATTTGATTGAACCTTGTCGACCCTATCAACTTATCGATAGGGGATTGGGTTTCTCGTAGGCTTTATGCCTTTGTTCATGAATTTTCTTTGTTGAAGGCCTTGAAGGCCGAATATGAATGTACAAAATAAATATTCTAGTCAACTTCGTAACCGCATATTTATCTGATATCTCGAACCCTGTCTACTCCTATTTATCTACTTAGGAGGATCGAGTTTTGTAGGCTTCATGTCTTTTGTTTAGTGAATTCTCTTAATCATAGGCCTTGAAGGCCTAATATGAATGTAATAAAACAAATATACCAGCTGTCGTGACTGTATAATTGTTTATTGGTTCGAACCCTGTCGACTTCTATTGACCCGTATAGAAGGACCAGGTTCGAACATGAATTCACTTATTGACCCGCACAGCATCCCTAGGCGTCACGTGTGTACTAATAACACGCTCGCCGGGGCCCATGCGAGTCGAGATTATATTTCCCCCTTTAGTGTATCTATGTGTATACAATTTATAGTGCACGTGCAGGGGTTCTTTGAAATGATTGTAGTTGTGCATATAACTATCATTTAGATGCACATAACTTTTCATTTAAGAGCTTATACACGCCTTCTGTCCGCTAGTACGAGTGCTGCGGATCCGGTGGCGTGCGTCTTGGTGTTGACTCCCCCTTTCTCATTCACCGGGGAAATTCTTATAGACTTTGAAGTCTGTTGCTTTTGAAGAGAACTCTTTTTTGAGGTCGTCAGTGTAGTAGACTTGTCATTTCTGATACTTGTGAATACCAAAATTGTTTTCCTCTTGAGTTTAGAGATTTTGGAACACCAGGAAATTTAGCTCGGATTTGTTCAAACATCTCTTCCATTCTGCCAGGAAGTGTACTTTTTCATACATCGGGCTGTCTTCGTGCCCGAAATACTTGAAGATCTTTACCACCAATGTCGTAGGGGATATCAATACTTGTGCCCACAGTGGTTCGTTGTACAATACACTGTTGTTATCCACAAGTATTCATTTGCATTTGCAGGGGATCCGTACCTGTGTCCACAGTGATTCATTGTACTTGCAACACATTGTTGTTATCCACAAGTGCAGGTACGACGCACCCGATCTCGTAGAGACTGTTGTAAGAGTCCACTACATTCTTTATTTGCATGTATTGAGGTCTTGTAGTTTGGGTTTCCTCGTGTGTGACCAAAGTTTTGTTCTCTACATGTGTTTGAGTCCAAGTTCAGTTTCATTCAGACTTGAGTTCAAACTCAGTGGGAGTCTTTTACATTCATTCAAGTCTTCTACTGTCATGCTAAGTTCATCCGGATTTAAATCTAATGCTCGCAAATGCGAATTTCACTTGGTGTCATACAGTTCAAGCTCAAATGCATAAGTTCTTGTTGTCCACATCTTATTCTAGTTTTGAATTCAGACTTCAGAGTATAAGTTCAAATCTTTGTTCAGGATCTTCTGAAGTCCTTGCAAGTTCAAATGTATGTTCAGATTGATTTGAGTCTGATTCCAATTTGATTTCATTTTATTTGGATTTTGACCTTTAAAAATCATTTAGAATTTTGTTCAGATTTAGGTCCACAAGTCCTCTGTTCATCATACAGGTCCTCTGCTCATTTAGTTCAAATTCTGTGCACTTCTGTTCAAGTACAGGTCTTCTATATTGTTGTCCAAGAAGGTCTTCTTATTGTTCAAGTCTTTGTACATTTCAATGAAAATTTTGGCAGCACCCCGGCATATCCCCCGTTTGGGGGAATGTAGGGGAGCTGGGCCTTCCCACCACGCTACTAGAGCGTGTATGGTAGGTGTCCTTAGACACCGCGGCCGTAGTAATTTTCATCCCACCACGCTACAAGAGCGTGTATGGGGCCTTCAGTAGTACTCGTACAGCGGAACAGCAGTGACGTACCAGAACAGCAGTGACTCCCCACCACGCTACAAGAGCGTGTATAGGCTCTCCCACCTCGTCGTATGCTTCGCACCGGGCTCCCTCCTAACCGCTGGCTACAAGAGCGGTATAGGTGGTTCCCGTCCGCTGCAAACATCGAGTAATGTGACTTTTGGAACATCATACTTCGCTTACGTAGCAGTGTCGGCGGTGTCGATGTTCGAGGTCGATGGACAGTGTCCCCACCACGTACACAGAGCGTGTATAGGGTTACCCGCCTCGTCGCACTATTGCACCGGAGATTCTTCCCCACTCGGTCTACAAGAGCGCGTATTAGGGATCAGCGCGTGTCGAGGGCGGGATGAAGTTAGAACTTATACCTTGACGTCCGGCGGTGGCTCGTGGATCGAGGCAGAGGGGATTCTTCTCTTTTCTTTAAAATTTTAAAATTATATTATTAATTAATATTATTAATTATAATTATTAACGAAATTGATTTTTAATTAATTACTTATAATTAATATAATGAATTAATTAATTAATTAAAAGTTTATTAAAATTAATTAATATCAATTCAATTATAGTTATCTATAATTAATTAATATTAATATATAATTTTTTAATAAATATAATTAATTGATATAATATTTAATTACAACTTAATGAATAAATCTAATTATAATAATTATAATTAATTAAAATAATAATCTGATAATTAAGTCAAAATTAATTTAAAAGTAATTATAATTAAAATTAGTTTTAATTTAAAAACTAAATATTCCTCTCTTCCCTCACCTCTCGTGTTCGGCGAAATTACGGGATTTTGCCGGAGTAAGCGCGTGAGGGTGAAAAGTTTCCTTAGAGCACGAGCTTCCGTTGTTTGCTTTGGATCAAAAAGTCGTGTTTCCGATCGACCGGAAGGGAAGTCAGACGGAGAGCGAAGTGAGCACCCCGGAGTGTTGGAGGAGCGACAGAGAGGAAGTTATCTTCAGGCGAGCGATCGCCTGTTGTTGCCTCCGACCAAAGTGTCCGCAACTCCGATCGACTGGAAGGAGGTCGTGGAGGAGCGGTTGGACAACAAGGAGCCGGAAAGCGCTCGATGGGGAGAGAGTTACCTTCACAGGGAGCTCTCGATCTTGCTTCCGATCTGACAGAAGGAAAAGTCGTCGAAGGTGGGGCTCGACCAGCCACGGGAAATGCCGAAGAAGTGCTCGACGGTGGAAAGCGGGTTCCCGTTCTAGCTTTCCGATCAAACACTCGTGATTCCGATCCGACAGCAAGGGAAAGTCGTCGAATGCACGAGAGATCGAGAGAGAGCGAGAGGAAAAGAGCCCCAGCTCTCTCGTTTCTCGAATATTTAATCGCGGCAGAGGGATCGTGCGAAGGACGTGGGAGAAGGACGTCGACGTGCCAGCGACGTCGGCCGACTTCCTGGACGTGCGGCTCTTCAGGTCGAAATATTTTTTTTATTAGATACGGGTCAACATCAGCTTAAATTCCCCTCAGAAGTTAGCATGATGCTAACTACATGAAATTTTAAAAATGATTTGTTTATGCATCAAGCATGTTAAAACTTAATTTCAAAATGATTTGTTAAGACATCAATCTGATGAATAGCTTAGTAAGATACTGATTCATTAATTTGATGATTTAGAAGTACTGAAATCAAATTAAATTGTTTAGCATATATAAGAGTTATTGAGCAAATTGCTTATGTAAAGACTTAGTTAAAAATTTCAATGGATTTGATTTATATATAGCTCTTTTAATTATTCATCAAATTTGATGAATGGTCAATCTTCTTAAAATGTTTTCAAATTAGATGTACAATTGTTCTTACGGTGTAAGTCAACTTCAATAATCTTGATCTTGCATTTGAAGATAATAACATTGAAAATTAGCTATGTGAGCTATGTGAAGAATGACTTGTTTTCATGTAGAGGATAGTAATCTATACCCATATATATAATGCCAAAGGCTGCAGTAGGCCTGATTCTCTTGTTTGTTTGTTTTTTTTCATTTCTTGGCAGTTAGATCGGAAACCTTCAAAGTGTGTGGGTATTTGAAAGATTCCAAGAGGCATTACTGCTGCCCACAATTGTACAATGATGGCAGTTGCATTGATTGGGTGCTCATCCAGCGTAAGTTTCTTTTTCCTCCAACATCCTCTATTTTAGTTTGTCAACTTGTTAGGCATTCCAAAGTGTTTCTGTATGGAGAGAATTGCTCTATAATGACTTGTATATGAATAAAAGAGAGAAATATTTCTTCTGTCTATTCCTTATTTAGCTAAGGAGTTTATCAAATATGCTTATCCTTGTTACTCAAATATTTTAATTTTTATGAAGGATATACAGCACATTAATACTGCTCACATTCTCACTTCATATTATATCCATATCTCATAGGACACAAATTTTTGGTCGGAATGAATCCACAAAAATTGATTAGATTGTAGTTTGTTGTTCATTTGTCACTTTTATAAAATGCTACCCTCACTTTGCTAGCTATCCATAATGGGATGATTAGGGGTGCAAATGAGCTAAGTTTGTGGCAAGTTTAAGTGTTGTTCAGCTGGCTTATTAAGTAAATGGGCCAAAAAAATTTCATTTGTATTTGGCTTGTTAACTTATCAAGCTGAAATTGAGCTTTTCGTAATTATAAAGGATACAAAAAATCATATATAAATTATAGTGTATATATATATATATATATATATAATCAAGCTACTATTGAGTCAAGTATGATTAAACAATGTCTTCTTTGTGTTTGACACATCAAATAAATAAGCTTATAAAAATGAGTTGAATTTAGGGGTGTCAGAATGGGTTAATGGATTCACGTTGTGTCCGACCCAAAATTAACCCAACTTTTTTAATAAACTGATAAAAATGTGAACTCAAATCTGACCCACTATCAATCTGAATGACCTGATAACCTATTCTATTAATTTTTTTAATTTTATGACTTGCCAACTATTAAGTTTTGGTTAATTGATAAAAAAAAAGATTATATCAATAAGTAAAAGAATTTATGGTGAAAAAAATTGAACCGTCGCTTTCGGTTCAAAATCTTGTTTGCGGGCCAACCCTAACTCAACTCGTTTAATAAACCGGTTGGAATTTCGAACCTGAACTCAATTCTTTAATTAAATGGGTAAGCCCAAATTCTGATTTTTTGAGTCAGGTCTGGGTCGAGTCAAGAAGGGTTGATGCATGAAAACAATGCTCTCTTGCTACCAGAAAAACTCAAAGCTCTAGATAAGATCCAACTTAAACTACCTAAATGCAAGGTGGCATATAGTTAGGTCTTTGATTTCTTGTGCTATGTGAGAAATTGCAATCATTGCGCTATGTAAGGCATCATATACTATAAATTCCACTTTCAAGGCATGCATATATTGAAATGCCATATCATTTTATGTCCTCATTGATTTTTTTGCATAAAATAGGTACGAATTGGAGCAAGCTGATTTAGCTGTCGCAAGCTACAATGAACTCTCTGTTATCAACTTGAAAAGACTGTTTGCACATAAAGGGTCTAATTTTATGGATTTACAGAAGCAAATCATAACGAAGTTACCATCCAGAAGGAAACTCAGGACTGATACTATCTTTTGAGTTTGTTTACTTCTTTCATCCCATAGAAATTTTAGAAGGTCAGCGTTTAATCATCTATTATACAGATTAGAGGTCATTATCTTTAGTGTTTTTAACCTCGCTGACTTCTCTTTGTACAGATAAAGCTCAGGATTTGTACCATTTTTAATGCATAGAAGGCATAAATTCTTCATGATTTGAAGAACTGCCTCAAAAGTATCTTAAAGCTCCCATGTTCAGAAGTTTAGGTAATTTTTTTTCTTCTTCTTGTATAACTGCGCCATGACCACAATTTAATTGGTATTAATTCCTCAATGATTGATTATAGTTGAAAAACCACCGAGTTTTGTACGATTGTATCTTTTTTATTTCTTCTGCATTAAGTTACATAAAGATGGATGCTTCCAGGTTTGGTTTAGAATTTAATGCAAATTAAGAACATGAAATGATATTTTGTTATATATTTTAGTATGTTAATAAAATGTTGATGGTAGTGAGACTTGTAATGTTTTATGGTGCAAAATGTTGGCCAGCCATTAAAAGAGAATCATAGAATTAAGGCTTCGTTTGGTATGGCTTTTTTAATTGCTTCTCAAATTAACTTTTTAGTACAAAAAAATTCATTTTTTAACTAGAAAGCTGCTTTAAGAAACGCAAAAAAAACTTTTTCAAATGAAGCCTAAGTGTTGCATAGATGATGATGCTCAGATGGTAAGTGGAGTTACACTTGGAGATGATGCTAAAAGAGTATATTATGTGAAAAGGTTGGATTAGTTCTAGTAATAGATAAGATTAGAGAGAACTGTCTTAGATGGTTTAGTCACATTTTGATGACCCTGTTTGGAGAGTAGGTATATTAGATTTGGCCCATGTCAAAAAAGGTAAATGTAAACATAAAATATAAGGTTAAAAATATTTGGGCTTAAGAGTATCGATTTCGGCTTCAGAATCAATTTGGCTCTGATTTTTGAAAGTTTGTAGGCCAAAGTAGATTTACTTGGAATCCTGTAGTTCTAACAGTTATTGCAACCCCAATCGGCCGCCTTAGCCATTTTGCTTTGTCTAAATTTTTTTTCATGCTTGTGGTTGGTTTTAGAGATGTCAATATTTGACACTATCCGAAAATCAAATTTGAATCTGACATGAAAATTCTGGTTTATAGTCAACCTATTTGTGAAATGAGTTGGGGTTGGATTGATCCGAAAATTCAGGAATGACCCAAAATGACTCGGCAAAAAACGAGTTGCCCTCGTCGATTGCCCGCGTTGATCTCGTTTGTCAGCATTGCGTCAAGTCTTCCATGTCGCACCTGCCTGCGTTTTCGTTTCGTCGCGTCAAGTTCCACTGACGACTTTGTTGTTGTTATTGTTGTGCTGTCGACGCTGAATGAATGTGCCGCATCTTGGGTTGGGTCGTGCAGGGTCAACCAGGTAACCTGCAAGGGTCGGGTTGGGATTGAAATATTTTATATGTTTACAAAAAAAGAGGGTCGGGTTCGGATCGGATCAACTAGTGTCAGATTAGTTCTGGGTTCAACTTGAACCTGACCTATGATCCAATTTTAACAACACTAGTTGCTGTGGTCATCTCTCAAACGAGGATAGTAACCTTCCATTGTAGGAAAAACTATTATGTGCGGAGTCCATACCCCAATAAAATACATCACGTCTAATACCAAACGAGCGGTACCGCCGCTCGATACCTAAGCATAAACTGGTCTGCGCAGCATAATCTCTCCCAGGGCTTTGAGCATTGATGTTCATTAGCACCTACGATTGTTATCACTTGCTAATGACCGTCATCGCTGACCAACACGGACGTCTTCTCGTCAGCACTACAATCTTCCAGAATATTTCATCAATAATATCCGAGACAATCATTACAGTTTAAACCTTATAATCATAGCGCCTTTGGCTACGTAGAGTGATAGGTTAATATAATATTCAACCTATGTATTTCTCCCTTGTTTTTCTCTATTCACTTTTTTGCGGAGAAAATTGTTTTTTTCTTTTTTTTGCATACCATAGATTATTTTTGTAGACTTTTTTTTTGTGACGCCAATATAATAAATTCCACTAAATATCTTATGGTGTGTGATCTATAATCTGAGAAATTATTATGTGGGAGACCGGACGTAAAATGTTGTCCAAAGACTAATCAGAACACACCACGTTAATGGTACTGAACAACAGTACCAAGCGGTACTGAGAGCCGGGATACGAAACATAGGGTGATGTGACGCATTCTGGTTGGTCTCTGGACGTCGTTTGGTGTCTGCACATAATAATTAATCCTATAATCTAATTATATCTTATTAGGATATGAAAAATTTTAAAGGTTTAATTTCTTCACAAGTTGGTGGTCAAATAGTATGCAGAATATAAGAAATTTAAGCTTGATGTATTATGTATACTAGCAATTGACCTGGAAGAATAAGATATTCAAGATTCAATGATTTGATTGGAGTTGAATCCGGTGAGGTAATAAATAGTAAAATTATTTAAATAAGGTTTAAATAATATAATGATATTGTAATGATTATCTAATCCTATAATTATGTGATTAAAAAATAAAGAGATCATGTATAATATTTTTAATTTGTTAATTTAAATGGCTTTTTAATTTTTAAATTTGATTTTTAATCTAAATTTAATTTACATTTAAGTATATAATTTAATATAAATATTAATAATTTATCTTGAATATTAGATATAATTTATAAGTATAAATTATACAACAAATTCATATTATATATATTGTTTACCCTAAACATTTGACCGATTTACCGATTTTAAACTATATGCAAACAACTACATTTTTATGTAAGAAAGAAAAGATAAAGATGGTCAGACAAGAGATTTATTTTCAATTCAAAATGGAGTTGTTTGATATCACTTTTTACTCTTTTTTTTTTGTTTAATATAATTTTAATTTAAAAGGAATAAGTTTTAATTTGATATCTATGTATATGTTTTTATTTTTATTTTTATTTTTTGCAAAGGCAAGTGTCAATGGGAGATTATTAGGTGCGGAGTGCGGACGGGGAGAACCGTCCGCACAAGCATTGGGTACTTAGCGGTACTCACACTCGGTATCGCTGGGTACCCAGTGCTTGTGCGTACAGTGCGCACTCCGCACCTAATAATTTTTTCAATGGAGGGAGCTATTATTCTGTGCGGATACCGAACAGTTCTCCCATCTGGTTACGCGTTCAGTATCGAGTGATATCGAGCACGGTTACCGAGCTCTGTAGTAAGTGCAGTATATTTTTGAGATGATGTGACGTATTTTTTTTCGTCTCTAGACACTCCGGGCTCCGCACAAAATAAAAATTTCAATGGAGGTGGGTTAATAATGATTGTGGTGGAGGTAGCTAGGGTTACAGCTTAAGGTGGGAGCTATGATTGGCAATAACAATAGATTGTAATATCCAGCTGGAGTTAGTAGGAGTAATTTTAATTTTTTAACTAGAAAAAAATTAAAAATATATTCTAAAATTATTTTGAGTATTTAACAGTAATTTTAAATTTAGGTTATTCAAATAAATAAAAATATTTAAGAAAGCACAAATTAAGCATATACTTAACAAATAAAAAAATAAAAAGTGCAAACAAAAGTTTATTCCAAATAAACCCTAAATAATAGGAAAAAAAACATATTTTCCATGTGCTGAAAAAAAATAAAATAAAAAAAATTCCATGTGCTGAAAATATGGGTTGCGTCTTACCCATATAAATTAAAATTAAAATTGATAAGAACTTGCTAAAATAGTAAAGTATTATTTCGACTTTCTCCCAAAGCCAATCTCTTCATAAAAGAAGTGCACCAATTTCTTAATATGGTAAAGAAGTGCTATCTCATACAATACATTGAATGGAGAAATTATTTCGTGCGGAGTCCGAACGGAAAATTTTTGTACGGATTGTGAGTTTACACATTGTGTGCAAATATATTGTAAATAATATGTAAATTCACAGTCCAGATGAAAACTTCCTGTCTGGACTCCTCACGGAATAATTTCTACAATTTTAATGTAATAATTAATAAATGCTATCATATCATTATTTTTAAGAAAAATTATACCATCTCTTATTTTTTACATGAAAGACATACCATTTATTTTTCATTTTATCTCAGAACATTAAAAATCCATTAATTTATTGCTAAACTTTTATTTATTTATTTGTTTGAAAATTAACCTATTCTTTTATATTATTTAGGATAAGTATGACAATTAACTATTAAATAATTGTCAATTTTCAATAGGGTTTAGGGTTACCTTCTAATTAAATAATTGTCAATTTTCAATAAGTTGTCTTCTAATTATTCTTTAAAAAAAATGAGAAAAAAATCATAAGAATCAATAAAAGCTTTTATTTGATAAAATAATACATCTAAAATAAATTATTTAGTGAAAAAATTCATCTAAATTTTATTCTTCATTTATTTTTTATCAAATCATATAACAAATTTTTTAGAATCCCTAAAATTTTAAAAAAAACTTTGCATTCCTATTTCAGCCAAAAAAAAAAAAAAATCCCATTAGTTTTATTTATTTTTATTTACAGTACAAATGAAGTTTCCTGGCTCCTTCTGATTCTGCCCAGTCTTAAGTGGGCCGTCTCTATTGAAGGCCCCACAAATTCAACAGTGGGCTCCATTTGTATCGAGCTGCAAATATTTAATGGGCCGATGTAAATATTCGCTATACAAAAATTATTTATTTTTTAGCTACATATTTGAAAATTTGTCGTTTATGAAATAAAAAAATATATTTTTTCATAAACTGACACCAAATTATTATTAATCTATTATATTAGCTTCCGTAAGGAATTTTTAGTCGTTGGGAGGTCAACTCCCTTACCATCCACACAGCAGGCCCAGAGAATATCTAAGCCTCTAAGCACCGTAGATATTCGGTTGTTTTAAATTATATATATATAATTTTTTTAATACCAATAATGTGGGTAAAAAATTAAAAATATTATAATGAAAGTGAATTTAAAAAAATAATAATAAAAAATAAAAGCTACTTTAAAAAGTAGTATTTAAACTATTTTAAACAAATGCTTCATTTGTGACGACTTTCTAATAGCTTCTTAAAGTAGCTTTTTTATTTAATTTTTTTTAATTTTTTTTACTAAAAAGCTAATTTAAGAAGCATTAAGATATTCGTCCCAAATGAAATCAAAATCTTAGATTTTATTTGAGTTAGCTTTAGGTCACTTTTTTGTTGTTTTCGTGAATTTTTGTGTGCTAGAAAGCTGGTGTAGAAAGCAGTAAGAAAGTTGACCTAAAACTTTAGGCTTTGTTTGTGATAGCTTTCTCATTATTTCTTAAACCAACTTTCTAGTAAAAAACTCGAAGTCCAAAAAAATTGCACTAAAATGCTGTTTTAGAAAGCAACGAGAAAGCCACCCCAAACGAAGCTTAGTTGTTGGTTGATATTAGCGCTAAGATAATCTTGGGAGTTGGAAAGGAGTGAGTAGGGCTGCAAGCGAACCAA